AGCCATGGAAGATGAATTGAAATCAATGAGTAAAAAATAAAGTTTGGGACTTAGAAAATATTTCTAAAGGAGCCAAAACAGTAGGCTGTAAATGGGTCTATAAAACGAAATATGACTTCCAAGGGAATATAGAAAGATTTAAAGCGTGACTTGTGGCGAAAGGCTTCACGCAAAGAGAAGGGATTGATTATAATGAGATGTTTTCTCCAGTCTCATGTAAAGATTTCTTCAGAATTATAATGGCACTTGTAGCCCACTATGATTTGGAGTTACATCAAATGGATGTAAAGACAGCTTCCCTAAACGGGGATTTAGAAGAAAATGTTTATATGGCACAACTGAAAGGTTTTGTCGTAAAAGGAAAGGAAAATATGGGATGCCGCCTGAAGAAATCAATCTACGGATTGTAGCAAGCTTTAAGACAGTGGTATTTGAAGTTTGATAGAACGATAAAAGGTTTTGGGTTTAAAGAAAATGTTGAGGACAATTGCGTTTATGCAAAGTTCAAGAATGGAAAGTACATATTCCTAATTTTGTATGTGGATGATATCTTGCTTGCTAGTAGTGATATCAATCTACTAATAGAAACGAAGAAATTCTTGTCCTCAAACTTTGATATGAAAGATCTCGGTGATGCCTCGTTCATTTTGGGAATAGAGATTCACTGAGATAGAAGAAAGGGAGTTCTAGGATTATCGCAAAAGACATACATAGAAAAGGTCCTGAAGAAATTTAGTATGTATGCGTGCAGCCCTTCACCTGCTCCTATAGTCAAGGGCGATAGATTTGGGGAACATCAGTGTCCCAAGAACCAATATGAAATTGACCGAATGAAAGCGGTACCGTATGCTTCAGCTGTTGGAAGTTTACAATATGCTCAAGTGTGTACACGCCCTGACTTAGCTTTTGTTACCAGGTTACTTGGCAGATATCAAAAGAATCCAGAAATTGAACATTGAAAATTAGTGAAGAAAGTCATGCGTTATTTGCAAGGTACGAAAGGTCTTATGCTTATGTATAGAAGATGTGATTCCCTGCAGATAGAGGGGTATTCAGATTCTGATTATGCGGGAGAAGAAAGAAAATCCATGTCAGGATATGTATTTACTCTCGCAGGAGGGGCTATATCGTGGAAAAGCTCCAAACAAACCGTGACTACATCCTCGACAATATATGCCGAGTTTGTAGCATGCTATGAGGCAGCGAGGCAGGTGAATTGGCTGAAGAAATTCATACCTGGATCAAAAGTGATTGATAATATAAATGAACCACTGAGATTGTATTGTGATAACAATCCAGCGGTACAGTACGCTTACAATAATAGGTCAAGTGGTGCTGCCAAACACATTGACATAAAGTACTATGTTGTGAAAGATAAAGTTCGGGATCATATAATAAATCTTGAGCATATAAGTACAGAGAAAATGCTCACGGATCCGCTCACAAAAGGCTTACCACCCAACGTGTTCAGAGAACACGTAGCCGGCATGGGTTTAAGGGAAAGCCTATGATTCCCGAACATACGAAGGGCCCAAAGAAAGTTTACATTCCAATACGGAGAGGGGTGTTGTGGCTGTTAGTCTAACGGCACTGATTGCTGTGACGATGAGACAGCTCTATGCACTAATCTGTAAAGGAATAGGATAGAAGCAAGAAAATATGAATTGAAAGTTTTGAGTATGAAATTAAAGAACGAAGAATAGATGAGAGATCAAGAGGGAGAATGTTAGGTTTGATCTCCCACCAGTTAGGCCCAACGGCCTTTTGGGCCTCGTTCTCGCCCAACCCTACATGGTTGGTGGGCCCCCGTCACACTGCGCTATAAATAAAGGTGGGGGCCGGCGGCATAAATCCACAACCTTTCCTTCATCATTAGTGTGTAATCTTCTACACCTAATAAAAGTATCTAAGGGTATCGTCTGATGCCCCGCCTAATCGCTCCGTAACGCGCCCACGAGCTTCTGGGTCAAGCTGTTGCACGCGACACGGGGACAACGGAAGAAGGGCCAAGGGTGCTCACTTGTTGCACGAGGCAAGACGTTAGAGGAGAGGACCGCCATGGCCAAGATGCCAAGTGACCCCTCTTCGAGCATCTCATCTAGGCGGCCGGCGGTAGCGAGCCCGTGGTCAAGGCGAGGACGACGCGTGGGCAAGGAGCAGGCGACGCGTGTGCCGACGGCGGGCAAACACGCAGACGTCCGAGCAAGGGCCAAGATGCTCTGACTAGTTTGTGGTGGAGCCTGGAAAGCATGAATTTGAGATGCAATACTGAAGAAGCTAACTTTGGCAATTGCTTGTTTGGGTCTTAACATCATTAGATTTATCATGTTAGTTTTTTTTCTGCAAACTTCCTCCTGATCTACACAATTTTGGTGACAAAGATCATAAAATAGACTTTATATTCATCTAATCCACAATCCACGTGCGTAGAAATGGCCAAAAAAATTATTACCCCGTGCAACGCACGAGCATATATCTAGTGTGTTGTAAAACATATGGACTTTGAAATATAGAAAGAGGAGGAGGAATCCTAATCCTAGTCCGTTTGTCGTGTGAGCACTTACCAAACTCTAGACATATTCGGACTATATATACGTGGGAGATTCTTCATTGTAATTATCCAGAAAGCAATAAAGAATAGTCTCATAATTGTTCTTTTGTGTTTGCATTGTTTTATAACATAACTAGAATCATGCCCGTGCGTTGCACGGCTGTACAAATTTTTGCCCACGCTTATTGCGACGGATTTAATCATTTTCAGAAATTAATAAAAGTTAAGAAGCAATTTTGCATTGGGGCCCTAAAATATTTTCAAATCCATTTAGTCCTAACAAATAGTAATAGACGAGACTAATTCAGTAGCAAAATAGCTTAGAGCATGTTTACTTCTATGTTAAAATTGAGATTTCTATAAACAATAAGTTGAGATGGATTGCATTTTGATGTATCAGTAGAAAGTTGCTTGCATTAGCTTTGCGCCAGGTCTAAACAAACCTAGGTGACATGAAGGAAAAACTAAGTGTACCGTGTACCTATAGTATCAGGAACTCACTATTTTTCGTGGTCTCAGGGCAGCATGGCAACGCTGTTGCTGAGAGCACGAGTGAAGCCACACTCGTCCTCGTGCCGCTGCTGCACGTCGTCCTCGTGCCGGTGACGAGGTTAAAAAAACAGAAGAGGCCTTCTTCGTATGCTGCCATCCCTAGACAGGCTGGTTGATGTGGTCAAGCTCGGTGTGTATGATGTGTCAGCGAAGTGCAGCAATGCCTGCTGCGGCGAGGAAGGATGGGGCAGCCAGGATCCATCTTTCGTCACGTATGAGGGAGGTCCAGAGAATTGGAGATGCTAAGCTGCGGCGGTGCCGATCGTGCTTAGTCTTCTTGGCTAGGGTTTAGCGGGATGCACAGGCAATGGTGACCACAAATTGCCGGGGGCATGATAGCGCGCTCTGTACAAGAACTGTCAGAGGACGTGATCGAGCGGGAGTCTTGGTTCTGCGTGTGGACGATCCAGATCGAGCGAGCAGGGTGATGGCATTGGCGCAAGTGGGTTGACCGTGGTGTGGCGACAACGAGGATAACGCTATGTATTTTTTAGTTGTACCGGTGCCACGGATTTTTGTCACGCCTACTGCCAACGACACAATTAACATTTAACATGGTTTTTGTTCATAAATCGCTAATGGGGTTATGGAGTCAAACACTTTGACGCCAAGTTTTTTTAAATTCTAAATTCCTCTAGGTTTTAGTTTAGAAATCCTATTCAAAACTTCAGATAATCCATATCCACTTAATTTTGCCAGCTCCATATCCTATCCCGCATTCGCACACAGCCGGATTCAGATTGTTCGTATCCGTACGCATATTAAAATTCATATCTTCAAAATTCGGATTCAGATAGAAGGCCAGGGTAGCAGAAAATTTTCAGCACCACTTTCACCTCTAAAATTAATTAATTAGTGAACGTCATATTTTAGCCCAGCTACATGCGTGATGGGCTTAGTAGCAGATGGCCCTAGATGGGTACTATCAATGACTAATGCATGCGACGTGTCAGATTTTCGTTTGGAGCGTGGTTTCCTTCCGATTTGATATCTTTTTTTCCAGGTTTCCTTCCGATTTGATATCCTTTTTTTCCGTTTGGAGCGCGAGTATGTACGTGGGATCGATTGGGTGACAGAGCGATTAGGCAGGGTGTCCGACGATAACCTTAGTTATTTTTTAGGTGTACAAGATGTATGTATGGCAAAGCGAGACAAAATTGCCTAAATTTGACAGAATGTATTGCAAAGCGAGACAAAATTGCCTAAATTCAAGAATAGATTACCTGGGGACTATGCCAAAACACACACACACACACTTGTCAAGGGAACCTAACCCAAACGTTGTGATGTTTTGCACTGTGGCATTGCCACCTGATTTATATTTAAAAAAATGTGTTCTTATCCATTGTGTTGCTATATGCTTAGCCATTGCAATAAACAATCTGTGCATTCAGGTGTTAGAAAATCTAAGGCCACATAACAACCAGATGTTGCGCAATATATTGTACTTTCTTTCACGAACAGAGCTACTGACTAGTAATAACTAATTGTTATAAGTGAAAATAATAAAGTGTACTAAACTATGAAAGAATTCAACAAAATTATGTGCAGAAAGAAAGCAAGGAAATGACACACGATTGTTTACTTTGGGGATAGATGAACAAAACTGGAGAAAATTGATGAAAACAGACGACAAATAATACACAATTTTACTTTGGGGATTGATGATGAATAAAATTGGGGCAAATTGAAGAAACAAGAATATATTGCTAAATTAACGACAAACTAACAATATATTTACCCACAGATCATGACTTCCAAACTGGTGAACTAAAATGAGCAGTATAGATATTTTGCAAGAAACCACGACACCATTTTAGCAGCACAGGCTATTATGATTGGTCTATCTTCTAAGTATTACATGCACATGAAGGCATGTTTAAGACCAGAATCAAAGTCACTTGACTGCAGGAATTAGTCCGCCTGACGAGCCATTGGTGGGTCCTTTTCCATGGAAAGCAGATTGCCTCTCTGGTCGACCAATCGGCTTTGGAGGCAAGGGAGAAGCAGGCACTCCACCGTTTGCATCTGAGTCCCCCTTCAGGCACAATTCAGAAATATTGTAAAGGTCTTTGACGTTCAATGGGGGCATTGAGTGCACAGCCACTGGCTTGACAACCTCATGTGGAGCTTGTGCAGCACCTGGTGGCCCATAATAAAAAGGAACATAACCGTAGCAGGGCACTGGAACAAATGCAGGATGGTAGTATGGAGGAGGAATCATCATTGGATAAAGATAGGGGGGCATGGCTCCTGGCATCACCGCCCCTGCCTCTCCAGCACTTGAACTTGAGGAAACTGAGTCCTGTTCCATAGGCTGAGATGTCACCACTGGAGCTGAAACTGGAACTGGGACTTGAACTGGCGGCGGAACTGAAGCAGGCACTTCCACAGGCACAGGAGGTACCACAGTAGCCGGAGAGACCACAGGGGCAGGCAGGGCTGCAACAGGCTGTGGATCATCTAAATGCTGTTGCTCTACCTCTTGTGAAGATGAACGCGAGAGCGGCAGCTGATCAGATGACTGAAAAGAAACACACAACAAATGGACATAAGCATATAAGGGGTCAAGGAATAAATAAATAAATAAATACTTCAAAGATAATAAGGATCTCCAACAAACAGACATAAGTAAATGAGATGCCACGATAATAAGGAGCTTGAAAATCTTACACTTGACAGCGTCACTATATATAACACCCGTATGACAAAGAAGGTAACAGGTATTAAAGAATAAGAATAATTAAATCAACCATAAGCATGCAAATAAGAATAGAACCTATGGAAGCATGTCCAGGTAAGCAGAAGCAACTGCACAACTTATTAATGCAACAGAGGTAAAAGGTATTAAAGCGTAGAGGAATAAGCATAGCTAAGTAAAGCGTGAGCATGCAAAAAGGAAGAGAACCTATGGAAGCATGTCTGGGTAAGCAGAAGCAAATGCAACAGGTACGTCAAGAAAAAGAATAAGCATATCATAGAACCTATGCAAGCATTTATTTAATCACAGCTGCAAAAAAAAAAAAAAAAAAAAAAAAAAACTGCCAACACAACAGCAACCGACAAAACGAAAGAATACGCAAGCTTATGTGACTGCAAGCAACTGCACTTCTTTGCAAGATGCACCTAAAAATACGTTACCAGGATCAGAAAGAGATGCTCACATCATCAATCACCATATCGAATAGGCTTGATCTTCTCTTTCTTCTATGCACATTTGTTTGGCGATTGAAATACTTTTGTGCATGGCTAGCCACTTGAGTAGGTGTCCTTGAAATAACATAATTACGCGATATACCACGCCAATCACCTTTCCCTAGCTTATTCAACCCAAGTAGAAACTTCTTGTGCTCCTCTTCAGTCCATGCCTCACCTGTCACCAAAACAAAAACATGACATTTTAGTTTATGCAAATTGGAAATCCAACCAATCAACCATATGAGAGAGTGGCAATGGCGATGTGTAGATCCTGATGGACCAGTATTTAAGTAGTACTGAGGCTATAGAAATCCAACTGAAACAATCATATGAATCATACATAGGAACGAAGCACTTTAACAGTATTCAGAGGCACATAAAGGGTGTATGCACATGGTGCAAATATGGAACCAAATTAATAGTATAACAGGAATTCAATTTTGTTGTGGCAAGCAACACAAAGTTTGTTCAACCAACCAACCAACCTCAAATTGCAACAACCTGAATGACAACTGCACAAACGGTCAAACACAATGTACAAGCTGTACCCAATTAATAAGTTGCAATACACAAATGCATGAAACACAGGACACACCCAAAGAGACAACTAACCTGAAACAACCAAAACGGACTAAACCAAAAATTGTCAACAGTAGGCGTCACAATCGCATCTTAACAACAAAATTCAATGGCTTGACATTAGCAGTCAGCAGAAACCAGAAAAACAATATATGTTTGAACAACCAAATAAACCTGGCAAAATTTGCTAGGAGACATCGTTAAAGTGTAGCTTTTGCCACAAACCACTAAAAAAGCTTGGCTTTGCTAAAAAACACTATAAATCCTTGCTAATATGCTATAAGACACTCAAGCCATTATTTTATCTGATTTTAATAGGCAGACACTGAAATGGCGAATATGCCCTTGCCCTTTTGCCTTAACCTTTCTCTTCTCCGCAGCTTCATTCGCTCGCAGCCTCGCACGGAAAAAAGGACGAGAGGCCGCGGCGGCGCGGCGCACCCTCTCCACCGCCGGCTGTGCCTGCAGTTTTTGGCAGCGGCGTCGTCCCGCGCGGCGAGCACGTGGCTGGGCGGCGCAAACGATGCGGCTGCGCGGCGAGCAGTCGAGCACGTACGCACGGCCGGACGGTGGGGACGCAGGCTTCGCGGCGAGCACGTGGCCGGGCGTGGCAGCGGCACGGCAAGCACGGGCGCATGCCCATGCGGCAAGGACGGGAGCGGGCCTCGAGGCAAACACATGGCCGGGCGCCGCGGCGGCACGACGGGCATGGGCGCACGCCTGGGCGGCGAGGACAGACTCAACCTTCGCGGTGAGCATGCTGTCGGGCATCGCGAACGGTTTAGTGGTGTGGAGAGACCGTGGCTGGGAGGCAGGATCGGCGTAGCAGCGCGGAGCGGAGAGCATGGACGCACATCCGGGAGGCGAGGACAGACGCGGGCTTCCCGGCGAGTACGTGGCCAGACGTGTCGCGGCGGCACAACGAGCGCATGCGCACGACCAGGCGGCAAGGACGGGAGCGGGCTTCGCGGCAAGCACGTGGCCGGGCGCCGCGATGGCACGACGAGCACGGGCGCACGCCCGGGCGGAGCAAGTGTCACAACTCGCATGTGGACCTGTCACCCTGCTGCTGGTTGCAGCGCCCGCCGAGTATGGCCAGTGGGCAGCGCGGCGAGGTTTTGGCTCCAGGGCACCAGCGAGGCTTGGCTTGGGTCCTACAAAACTAGTGAAGGGCAGGGGTATTTTGTCCAAATTTATGTGTTTTGTGACCTATGTGAGATAAAAATGCTATTATATAAACTATAGTGTCTACCAGCAAATATACATGAAATTGTAATGGTTCTTGGCAAAGACAATTTTTTCTGGTGGTTTGTGGCAAAAGCCATACTTTAACGATGTCTCCTGGCAAATTTTGCCAATAAACCTTAACCTCCTCATTATTCGTTGAAGATCCTAAAAAGATAACAGAGCACCTGACAATATAGGAACAGAGTGACACGACCAAACCTCCCAAATTCTCCCGCTGGTAATATAATCGAATCAGGAAACAAAACCTCAAGTTCTCCCAGCAAGCAACCGAATCAAATCGCAAATAACCATTAATTTCAGCAAATCGTCAACCCACGATTCTTATCGAACCTTCAATTTCAACAAACCGTCAACCTACGATTCTTCTCGCCTCCCAACGAAAATGAGCGACGCAACAATCACGCCGATGAGCATCAAAATCGCATCATTTTTCGCACAACAATGCCTACCTCCCCCACACAAGCACGAAACCACCCAAAAAAACTCACGGCTAAAACAAAAACAAGAGATTGGGGCAAACAGAGGGATCACGATTCACCAAAACCCTGTCCCCCGGCTGCCATCTCACCTCGCTTCTTGTGCGTGCGCTCCCCATCGGAGCCGTACCCTTCCTCCCTGCTGCCGCCGCCGCCGCCCTCCGCGGCGAGGTGCGCGATGTTCCCCATGCTGGCGCACTTCCGGATGGGCTTGTCCCCGATGCGCACGCCGAAGAGCTTGACGGGCCGCGCGGTGCAGGTTCGCGCGTTGTGCCCGTGGTGCCCGCACTGCGAGCACCGCCTAGGCCCGTCGACCGCCGCCGCCGCCCCGCCGCCGGAGCCGGCCGCCGGAGGCACGCCGTCCCGCGTCATGGCGGAGGGGGATTGGCTAGGGTTGGTGGAGGTGAGAGGAATCTCTTTTTTTTCTCTTGTGGATTTTTTTTATCCTCTCCCGGATTTTTTTTTATTTCGGGGCGGGTGGGGGGCGTATTTATTTGGGGAAGGAAAAAGCGTTGTACTAGAGGCGGGGAGGGATACGGCGGGTGGTGCTGAGCTGGCAATTAAAATTATTTCCGTTGAGTGGAAGGAAATCCTTTTTCTAGTGGACAAGTTTCCAAAATTCACTCTTAATCCAAAAAAATTATTTGGCGAGATTGAAAAAAAACTTCAACAACTCTCTATCTCAACTCTAAAAAAAACTCTCAATCTTTCTATACTTGGGGAAAATCATCCTGTCGTGCGGAAATATGGGCGCCCGCATCAATCGGGCAATTTACAGATGGAAGGATGTTGAAAAGACTAAGGAGTAAGACCATATTTCCAATGCAAACGTACATGACCTATAAAAAAATGCAAACTTACATGAAAGAAAAAAAGTATAAAAATGTTTAGAATGATTTGGAAATAGTATAGGATTCCTGATACAAATTGTCATCTATATCGTAGAAGCCAGATTTTCAGCCTGTTCGGCAGGACTGAAAAATAAACCAAAATATTGTTCCGGCTGATTGTCGTGAAAGAAAATAATGTTCTGTCTAAAAACACTGTTCACGTAAATAGTGCTTTCATGAGTGGGCTGACCAGCCAGCTAGCCAACCACCAGACAGCACCCTCTTTGAAAACAGCTGGAGATGCTCTAAATTGTTTGGACTTGGCTAGGATATATGATATGGTACATGATGGATTTTATAATACTAGTTTAATAAAAAAACTAAAATTTGGATTGCTTGGTATTAATTATTTTCCATTATTTTCAATAACCAGTTGTTTTTTAGTTATTCGTAAAGTTTGGTAAGTTATTTTTTCGTCTTTGGCTAGCTAAGATTGGTCAAAGTATAATAACTCGGTTTAGCTTGGTTAATTCGAGAGTACTCAATTTACTAGAAAGTTGAACTGATTTGGTAACAATTGCAATGAGTTTAGACACCCAAGCCAAAAGAAACAAGCCAAGCCAATTCATGAACTGCATGCTCTTAGACTAGTCTTAGTTGTGTTCCTTCAGGCAAGTGCATTGGGGTTGTCTCACAAGTGATTTTATATGTAGTGCCGTGAAATATCTGAGTCTACATAAGACAGGAGCAATGGTGGCACCTAGTAGTGTTGGACCTAGGTCACGCAAACTTAGAGGGCTTGGTATTAATTATTTTCCGTTATTTTCAATAACCAGTTGTTTTTGGTTATTCGTAAAGTTTGGTAAGTTATTTTTTCGTCTTTGGCTAGCTAAGATTGGTCAAAGTATAATAACTCGTTTTAGCTTGGTTAATTCGAGAGTACTCAATTTACTGGAAAGTTGAACTAGATTTGGTAACAATTGCAATGAGTTTAGGCACCCAAGCCAAAAGAAACAAGCCAAGCCAATTCATGAGCTGCATGCTCTTAGACTAGTCTTAGTTGTGTTCCTTAAGGCAAGTGCATTGGGGTTGTCTCACAAGTGATTTTATATGTAGTGCCACGAAATATCTGAGTCTACTTAGGACAGGAGCAATGGTGGCACCTCATAGTGTTAGGTCTTGTTTAGTTGGGTGAAGTTTAGAAATTTGGCTACTGTAGCATTTTTTTTATTTGGCAATTAGTGTTCAATGATAGACTAATTAGGCTCAAAACGTTCGCTCTCGTAATTTTCAACCAAACTGTGCAATTAGTTTTTTTTCCGTCTACATTTAATGCTCCATGCACGTATCGCAAGATTCGATGTGATAGCTACTGTAGCATTTTTGGAAAAAAAAAATTGAAACTAAACACGACCTTAGACCTAGGTCACGCAGACTTACATTAATGCTGGCCAATACTCCAACTTACTTTTGCGATCCCACCATTCCTAGCTCCCAGAAACATCGATTTGCGCCTTCTCTATTTGTCTTTCGTTCCCAACAAAGCGCGTGGTCGAGCCTCACCTTCTGCCCGCAAAGTGTGCTTGGCAATGGCTGGATTAGCCGCTTGGTGCGAACACGTCAGCTACACGTGGCTCCCAACTACGACGTAGCATTTGGTGTCACATTTAATTTGTCTTCGACATCCATGTTGCATGTCATAAAAAAAACTTAGCATGGCTCCGTATAAGATGACCTGTGATGACAACTATACATGTATTCTTTTTTTTTCTACTAACTTTTTTTTCGGTTGATATTTTGCTTAGAAATTTTTATACCCACCCATCTTTCCTTGGTTTTACGTACAAAAGAAAATTTGTCATCAATTTTCTCTACAAAATCATCATCGAGAATTATTATATTATAGTAGGGTGAAAAGACCCCTCCGCTGGTGGTGCTGGATACGATTTGTTTAGATTCCGATTGTGTCAATCAAATAATAAAAAAAGCCGGCACTTGTAAACTTTTAGCAGATTCGCCTTTGACGTCGGATCTGGACCAGTAAAAAAATTGGGATAGACTATGATCTGACCGTAAAAATAACTGATGCTGAGGTTAATGTTGATGCTGATTTGTTGTGAGAGAAAAATACTGTTATTTTGCTGAAACGGTACGGCTGATAAGTTTAAGCGAAGGGCCTAAATGTTTTCTTTTTATAATAATAGGTGCATGATTGGGTTAGTTGGGGCCATAACAGATGACACTGAGTGAGGAGTGGGAGAATGAGATCCTCTACAGTTGGCCACATGACTTCTCTCTACGGTTCCTGAATATCTGGGCGTTCATTCATATCTAACGGTGGCTAGAGCATAAGTGCTGCCTCCTCTCAGCTAGCTGGGCTTCGGCCCAAACAACAGAGCCGCGTTCACTCAAAAAAAATGTACAACAGAGCAGCTGTATCTTGGTTCTAGCATGATTACTGGATACTTTGGCGCCAGTACTGCGTTTTTGGCGCGAGAAAAGAAAGGGCGGACGCCGAGATCGGACTGCTGCTGCTGTGGTGCTCTCGATCAGTAAGCAGGTGAACTTCTGCACTCACGTCATACCCTTCAGCTGCCACAAACCTCACACTTGATGGCATCCTAAAAGAAAATTTCAGAGTTACATGGTTTTGAAATTAAGACGGCTGATGATGCTAGAATTGGACCCAAAGCTGCTCATGAGTTGGCTTGCATCCAAGTTGGTGGCTCAGTTAATCTCAGTTACACTCTTCAAGACAATAATAACTATTTATGGGGCAAGTGGCAACGGGAGATGGCATATGGTCAAGCAGGAAGCATGCTTATGTATTTTTAGGAAAAAAATTGCCGAGAACCCATCATTTCAATATGCACTACAGATGGATCGGGAAGAACAGATTGCAAACATATTTTGGGTTGATGCTAAAATGCTCACTGACTATGCATATTTTGGTGATGTTGTTAGCTTTGATACTATCTTTGGTACAAACAAGGAGAGTAGGCCTTTTGGTGTATTTGTTGGGTTCAACCATTTTAGAGAAACAGTAGTTTTTGGTGCTGTTCTCATGTATGACAAGACATTTGAATCCTTCAAGTGGCTCTTTGAGACCTTCCTGAGAGCCCATAATGGCAAGCAACCTAAAACAATATATATCGATCAAGATTATGCAATGGGAAAAGCAGTTAAGGAAGTTTTTTTTAGAAGCATGGCATGGTCTGTGCACTTTTCACATTATGCAGAATGCTGTCAAGCATCTAGCTGAACCAGATGATGAGGAATCAGGTACATCTCCCAAACAGGAAGTAGAAAACAGCAATAAAGAACCAAGTATTCTCTCTGATTTTAGTGCGTGTATGTATGAGTATGAAGATGAAGCAACATTTGAAGATGCATTTAACATCATGAGGTCAAAGGCGAAAAAGCAAACTTGGTTGGATAATATATACAAGGTAAGAGAAAAATGAGCCAAATGTTACATGAAGGATGTGTTCACATTAGGGATGAGAAGTACACAACTCAGTGAGAGTCTGAATAGTGACCTGAAGCGACATTTCAAATCTGATTTTGATATAATCCGATTTCTTAACCATTTTGAAAGGGTTGTGGAATATAAAAGAAAGAAAGAACTGCAATCTAAATTTAAATCAAGAAAAAAATTACCTAGAATCAAAATGAGGACACCTATGTTAATCCAAGCTAGCAAGCTGTACACACCACATATTTTTGAAGCTTTTCAAGGTGAGTATGAGAGGTCAATGGTAGCATGCACCACAGCATTAGAATGCGAAAATGAATATCTTGTAGCAATTGGGAGTCTTGATGAAAATTTTACCTTTGAGAAAGAGTACAAAGTTAATGGTGATCCTTTAAAGCAAACCAGTACATGCAGTTGTGGGTAATTCAATAGAATCGGAATACTGTGCGGCCATGCTCTAAAAGTCCTTGATTTGATGAATATCAAAACACTTCCTACACAATATGTACTGAAGAGATGGATACAGAAAGCACGCAGTGGAACAGTACAAGACAATCAAGGCCGAAACATAATAACCAGTTGTTTTCCGTTATTAATTATTTTCCGTACAAGACAATCACGCAGACTTAGAGGGCTTGGTATTAATTATTTTCCGTTATTTTCAATAACCAGTTGTTTTTAGTTATTCGTAAAGTTTGGTAAGTTATTTTTTTGTCTTTGGCTAGCTAAAATTGGTCAAAGTATAATAACTTGTTTTAGCTTGTTTAATTTGAGGGTACTCAATTTACTGGAAAGTTGAACTAGATTTGGTAACAATTGCAATGAGTTTAGGCACCCAAGCCAAAAGAAACAAGCCAAGCCAATTCATGAGCTGCATGCTCTTAGACTAGTCTTAGTTGTGTTCCTTAAGACAAGTGCATTGGGTTGTCTCACAAGTGATTTTTTATGTAATGCCACGAAATATCTTAGTCTACTTAAGACAAGACAGGAACAATGGTGGCATCTAGTAGTGTTAGACCTACGTCACGCAGACTTAGAGGGCTTGGGTGGGCCTGTTTGCTTGAACTTATCAGCCAGCTTATAAGCTAAAATCTACAGTATTTTTCTCTCATAATAAAATAGCTTCAACCGATTTATTAGCCGACTTTAATACCAACCGAACATGCCAACGCTGGTCAATACTCCAACTTACATTTGCGATCCCACCATTCCTAGCTCCCAGAAACATCGATTTTCGCCTTCCCTATTTGTCTTTCGTTCCCAACAAAGCGCGTGGTCGAGCCTCACCTTTTGCCCGCAAAGCGTGCTTGGCAATGGCTGGATTAGCCGCTTGGTGCGAACACGTCAGCTACATGTGGCTCCCAACTACGACGTAGCATTTGGTGTGACATTTAAGCCTCCTTTGGCATGGCTCATCCAAAAAACTTAGGTGAAGCTCCATATAAGATGACCCAGAAAAACTATGGTTTTATTCTTTTTTCGGCTTCTAGTTCATTTTTTGCTTAACCCGATACCCACAAAACGGCTTTTACGCCAAAGAAAATTTGCCATCGATTTGCGCAAAATAGATGAAGCCGAAGCCGGCATAAGCCGTGCCAATGAGGCCCTTAATTTGTCTTCGACATCCATGATCCATGTCATCAAAAAAAAAACTTAGCATGGCTCCGTATAAGATGACCTGTGATGACAACTATACATGTATTCTTTTTTTCTACTCACTTTTTTTGGTTGATATTTTGCTTAGAAATTTTTATACCCACCCATCTTTCCTTGGTTTTACGTACAAAGAAAATTTGTCATCAATTTTCTCTACAAAATAATCGTCGAGAATTATTATATTATAGTAGGGTGAAAAGACCCCTCCGCTGGTGGTGCTGGATACGATTTGTTTAGATTCTGACTGTGTCAATCAAATAATAAAAAAAGCCGGCACTTGTAAACTTTTATCAGATTCGCCTTTGACGTCGGATCTGGACCAGTAAAAAAAGTTGGGATAGACTAGGGTCGTATTCGGGTGATTTGAAAAATGACTGATGCTGATGCTAATACTGATTTAGTGTGAGAGAAAAATATTATTATTTCGCTGAAACCATATAGCTCATAAGTTTAAGCGAAGGATCTAAATGTTTTTTTATAATAATAGGTGCATGATTGGGTTAGTTGGGGCCATGACACATGACACTAAAGCCCCTTTGTCATGGCTCATCCAAAACGGCTTCATCGGTGAAGCCAAAGCCGGTAGCCAGAAAAACTGGCTTTTTCTGGCTTCTAGTTCATTTTAATTCTGACTTACGAAACAGCTTCACGCTACAGTGCCTCGATTTACGTAAAATAGATGAAGTCGAAGCCGATATAAGCCGAGACCTTAAGTGAGTGGGTGGTGGCTCGTCGTCGTCCGTCCACGAGGGTAGAAACAAAGCAAAACCAACGACGGGCCAAACGAGACCACCGTTGATGTTTGGTTTGGTGACAGAGACGTACGGTGGTCTCGCCCGGCGACGTGGATGGATGGATGCATTGCTCAATCTCCAGGGATGGATGGATAAATAACGTGATCCGCATCGTCTCATCTCTCATCTTCTCTATTCTGTATTTGTATTGTACTACTCTTCTTGTATGGTTGTGTTTGGGATGAGATGGCACCACGAATCAACAGCATGATTATTTATGCTTATTACTAATCATTAATTATTCAGAATGTGTGCCGTGTGCGTCCGTGCGTGCGTCACGAGGAGGCAGCGTGTCCCGTTCGCCTATGCTAAAATTAGGTTATATTGATATTTAGGTTGAAATGTTGTAAGATAAAAATACTATTCATAATTGAAAAGCAGCTCAAGCTGAACAGGCTGAGTCGCTTTTCCATGTCAGCGTCAGTGTCATGCATCGTCCGCCGTCCGGGCCGGAGCTGCACCTGCCGTGCACGAGTGAGTGGCGCACGAGTCTCGTACTGCCACTGGCACAGCAGTCATGGTCATGGATACGGATACGGTACGGGTGGACGGGAGTGGAAAACGAAAACATCCGTTCCATGGCAGATTTGCAGTGGTTCTGGGTAACTCGAGGCGCACGTGCGCGGTGCGCTCACAGCCAGGAACTACAGCCGTGCACGTGCGTGTAATATCGTCGGGCAAAAAAACAAGGAAAAAAGGAAAAAGGAGAGGGACGAGCGATGGGCTCGCCAACGGAGGAACTTCATCAGGCCCAGTAGATACACGAAGGTGAGATCACCGGGCCTTCTGTTCTCTGCCTCCGTCCGGCCCAGACAAGGTGCCGCAATGGCCAATGGGCCAATGGTCTCCACCGCCAGCCCACCCCACACCGCCACAACCGGTACACACACAGGAGGCTGATCTGATCAATCAGGCCCAACTCCAAGAGCCGCGTGGCGTGGGCAACCTGCGGTGGCGTGCGGTTCGTGTCTTCTTCTTCCTCGTCCTTTCCCGTTGCTTCGTCCGGAAGCAGAAGCCGGCCATTCCGGACTCCGGTGCCGGTGCGGCGGGCCTGCCCTGCCGACACCCACACCTCACACCTCGCCTCGTCTCCGGCCGCCTTTCCACGCATTTCTCATTACCCTGCCAAAGTAGCTTCCGGACGCTTCTCGTGACACGTGGCCTGGTTTTGTCGATTGCTTCCCAGATTCCGTAGCACCGGTAGCTGCGTGCGAAACCAGGGGGGACTTGGGTCCGTCTCGGACTCTCCGTCGGGTCGCTTTCGTTCCCCCTTCTTCCGGCCTTGGCTGGCCGGGCCCCATCAAAATCCACGCAGGCTCGCTCGCTCGACGCCGACGCGACGCTTCCATCCGTCCGTCCGTCCGTCGTCCCACGTTCCCGCTTTCCCAATTTTCCACGACACGCCACGGGCACGGGTTCCCTGCTTCCCTTTCCCCGCGACCCCACCGAGGCACCGACACCGCGGCGGGCGGCGCGCGGCCATGGGACGGCGGCGACGGCGGCGGCGAAGACCGCTCGGCGGCGGTGCGCGCCGAGGAGTCCGTCTCCGGCGGCGTCGACGTCGACGTCTGGAGCGATGCCGTCTCCTCCCACGCGCCGGACCACCTCCTCGTCATGGTCCACGGCATTCTCGGCAGGTGCGCGCGCGCCCGCCCCTCCCCTCCCCACTCCTCCCCCGCCACCTCTGGCTCTCCACTCCAGGGTTCTTAGCTGATTCCAGTTTCCAAGCCGGTCATTGGATTGGATTCTCTCCCGGTTCGGAGTAGATCGTGACGGATTCGTGCGCAATGTGGAGTGGCGGTCGAGGGCCTCCCCGTCGCGGTTCCCCCCGCTGCTCGGCTTGCCACACGCCCGCACCCTCACATGTTCTGCAAAATGAGGGACTTGAGGCCGTGTTAGCTAGAGCTCAATGTAGGGGATCTGGTCGGGCAGCTCTTCATCGTACTTCGTACCCGGGCATTGCTTTTGTATTTTTGGCGTGCTTGTGCTTGTTGCTGAAATCTATCAGACCGTAGTACATTTCAGTAAAATGTGTTCTTTTCACTGCATTTGAGAGCAACACCATCGACTGCCTTGTTGTACACCACGTGTTCTGTCTAGCGAACCCATTATTGAGAGCAAAATGGGGGACTCTTGTCGTCTGTTGAGGCCGTGCTTGCTTAGGCCTGGATGCGGGGATCTGGTCGGCCAGCTCATGGTTGTACTTCGTACCTGGGCATTGCTTTTGTATTTTTTGTGTGCTTGGGCTTGTTGGTGAATTCTATCGGATGGTACATTTCAGTGGAATCTGTTCTAGAGACTGCATAATTTGAGAGCAACATGATCATTGTGTCGAGGTCGACCAGTGCCTTGTTGTACTCACATCTTCTGTCTATGGAATCGATTAGCGACTCTTATAGTCCTGTCTCCTGCAGACAACCAACGAACAATTTGATGCAAAAAGCCAGTAAGTTTAAACTAGACTAGGCATTGGGTCAAGGCTCTGCAAAAGGGGCCAAATGTAATCCTTCATCCCAGATTCATACTGGTTCTGGTTTCATAGGAAGAAGGCCACTGCTATGATGTAAGACTACAACAACAACAACAAAGCCTTTAAGTCCCAAACAAGTTGGGGTAGGCTAGAGTTGAAACCCATCAGAAGCAATCAAGGTTCAAGCACGTGAATAGCTGTCTTCCAAGCACTCCTATCTAAGGCTAAGTCTTTGGGTATATTCCATCCTTTCAAGTCTCCTTTTATTGCCTCTACCCAAGTCAACTTCGGTCTTCCTCTGCATCTCTTCACGTTACTATCCTGGCTTAGGATGCCACTACGCACCGGTGCCTCTGGGGGTCTCCGTTGCACATGTCCAAACCATCTCAACCGGTGTTGGACAAGCTTTTCTTCAATTGGCGCTACCCCTAATCTATCACGTATATCATCGTTCCGAACTATGATGTAAGACTATGCTTCAAAAAAATGAATAAAAGACTAATTTCAATTTCCAACTGCTCTAAATTTCTAAGGTTAATCATGCCGTACTCAAAATTTTACCATGAAGTATGTAGTCAAGGACAAAAATTCCGCTGCAAGCAGCAAAGTAGGGAATTATGGATTGCAATTGGGTACAACCAATCATATGCAAGGCTGCAACCTATTTCAGTGATGTTATCTGCCTGTCCGCTGTAGCTGACAGACAGATGTTTTCATTTACAAATATATGGTTTTTACATGCAGTGGACATGTTTCTAGTTGCATCTCTCTGAACTTATGACCTGTCCCCCTTGTATTTTGTATTTTAATCACTTTGCTCTTTTTTCTTTGGACAGTACTGCTGATTGGCAATACACAGCTAACGAATTTGTAAAGCAACTCCCTGACGATGTCATTGTGCACTGTAAGTTGTGCCACTTTGTACTATCCATTACCGAATACCGAGTTTAATTTCTTTTACATTTTTCTTTGCTTCATTTTCTTAATTCTATGAATATGCTCTTTGTTTGCTTTCTTTGGAAACAGATTTTACTGTGAAAATAGCAAATAAAATAATGTTGTGTTGTGAAGATGAAGAAATAGTTTCTCGCTTTCCTACCTTACTAAAACATATTGCCGATTTGGCATTAGAGTAACAAAACAGTGACGAGTATAACTTTGAGCACGAGTGTTGATTCTCAAGTTAATATAATCGATCGACCAATGAAATTGAATTTTCTTTCTTGGCCGACAGCACTGTCACAATTATACATTGCAGTTGTTTTTGCTTCATTCCATTCTGACCTGTGGGAGCATGGGCAGTGTTTTTTGAGTAGCACCCAGAATGGTGTGATGTTATGTTAGTTGGGTCAGATATGCATGCACCATCCTTGCAACTGGATGCAGTCTTGGTTTGGAGCCCTTTTTAGCCCCTTCATAAAGCAAATACATTTATTGAGAAAAGGGGTATATGATTGGAAATGTAGTTGAGTGTTACTGAATTTTACTACTGTGAGCTTCTTCTTTTTTAATGTTTCATCTCATTATACTAACTAGTATTGTGTTCTACATGTTCTCCCTCTACTCATTGATGCTCGCAATTCTGAATAGTTCATCTGCAAACTTTGAGTTCCGCTATATAATTACCATACCATAATGCAAGTTTCTCCCTTCTTGAATTTGTGTAATTTGAAGTGGTTAGCCTGTTTATCTAGCTTGTAGTATAGACTTATTTGTCCCATTTTACAGGTAGTGAAAAAAATACATCAATGTTAACTTTAGATGGAGTTGATGTCATGGGGGAACGCTTAGCAAATGAGGTAAATATTGCAGGCAGCTAATTTAGGAGCTATCTGCTGCTCCATAGTAATTTGTAATAAAATTTTATTGTTTATCAAACTGTTCTCTGGCACGGTTCCTATTGTCTGAACAACAGTCTAGATGGTAACTTGCCTTCTCTCTTACTCAGGTGCTTGATGTAATTAGTCGAAGGCCAGAACTCACCAAAATTTCTTTCCTTGCACATTCCGTGGGAGGATTAGCAGCAAGATATGCAATTGCAAAACTTTACAGACATCCAGACAGCGTGTCTGATGGAAACACTAAAGGAACCATCTGCGGTTTGGAAGCAATAAACTTTATTACTGTAGCAACGCCTCACCTTGGTTCACAAGGGAACAAGCAGGTTCAACTTTTGACTGCCTCTTTTCAGTGATCTGCATGTCTCTAGATAATTTGTTTGTTCACCATAAAGATGATACACAAAAAAATATGATATTGTATCCATCTATTGAAACCACTGTAAAACCATTTGCTCATGTCCTCTATAATATCTTTTGAAAGAACTGAAGAACAATTTGCTCATGAGTCATGTCCTTAATGTTTCTTATTTTCTGTAAAGAAAAGTCGGATGTTATCCATCTAGAGTTTGACTAGATGGCAGAATATATGTAGCAATACTTGGTGCTAGTTTCGTTTTCACTGATTTCAAAGTATTTGAAGCACATGAAAGGGTCATGCAGAGGTGCTAAAACACCTCCAAACCTTTTGAGGAAGAGAAAAGCAACACCGATGCCATTTACTGAAAAACTCACAAATTCGTTGCCAGACTTCTTGACTCTTACCCTTACAAGTTGCAACCACTAGAAACTAAAAGATTTCAAAATGTCACTCCCTTTTTTCCCTGCCTAACTTGCTTGGAGTAATCTTGCCCAATTATGTACCTGGCGATCCAATCAAAGTTGATCCTGGGCACCATGAAACGAGGTCTGAATTAGCTGATTATTATTTGGGTGCTTGGATGTTGTGAAGATATCACAATGACTGTATGTTCAATGACGCCTCCCATAGCATGATGCAGGTCCTTAGAAAAAAATAGAAGAAGGTAACCTGTGGTGTTTAGCAGGGGCTAGGGGATTAGCACAGTTGGATGTGGCTGTCTCTTGAGGCTGCATAGTGGTGTGATAGAGGTCGTTATCTTCATGTTTCTGGTGCAAATGTAATGATTTGTGTTGTGGGTTTGTTGTATTTATTTATTTTATTCTTCTTAGTGCAACGATGCTCAGCTCTCCTGTGCATTTATTTAAGGAAAAAAAAGCCTTCTGCTTCTGATCTAGTTTATATGCCATATTCAATGAGCCATGGGTATAAGTCACTTGCACTATTTATTTGATGTTTCTTCAATTACAAACTAGGTTCCACTCCTGTTTGGCTCTGTTGCAATGGAAAAGGTTGCTTGCCGCGTCGTTCATTGGATATTTAGGCGAACTGGTAGACATCTCTTTCTAACTGACGATGATGAAGGGCAGCCTCCACTGCTGCAGCGGATGGTTGAAGATCATGACGATCTCTACTTTATGTGAGTCTTATCTTGCCCTTGGCTTATTTTGCATTCATGTTCTGTTTCAATTTGCCCTGTATTTTTTTATTTTCCTTTTCTGTTTTTGTTCGTGGCTGATGTTGGGTTTCAACTCCAGCCTTCCCCAAGTTTCTTGACTAAAAGACACTGTTGTTTTTGTTGTTGTTCTATTTTTCTACTGCTAGTAATACATTGTTTTGTTTCTGCCATACTATATTAATGATCTGCACCTTTTGTAGATCTGCTTTGCGAGCATTCAAGCGAAGAGTGGTGTACGCAAATGCTGACTGTGATCGTATCCTTATTATTAGCGCTATTGGCAATTTTCTTTGTGGTGTTCATATTGTTTGTTTTATTATTGTTATTGTATACTTTTGGCTATGCACTTCTTTAATGCACAAATCAGATATTGTTGGCTGGAGAACATCATCTATTAGAAGAAACACTGAGCTTCCTGAGGTATTTTTTATCGACTTCCTAATTCTCTGAACTATCTAGGAAGGACTATGTGATTTTTTTGTAGCACCATTCTCATATATGAAGCCTCTTTTTGCTTCTTTTGATCTGCAGTTGCCAGTATCGTCATCTGAGAAGTACCCCCACATTGTACATGAGGAGTTTTCAGAAGAAATCGATGATGATAAGTGCCAAGATTGCATGACAGAATGTGATATGGACGTTCTGGAAGGTAAGTTTCTAGAGTAGCATGCAGAATACTTCTTTTTTTGCTATATATCAAGAAGCTTTATTGTTTTTCTCCTTTCGTTTTGCCTGTTACAAGTAAATGATGCTTCAGTGCTATGTGGAAAAGGTGATCCTTTTCCTTAAGTCTTTTTTTTAAAAAAAAAACTGCTATCCTTATTATAAATTTTCCTTTTCAAAAAAAAATGTTGTCTTTTAAATGATCCTTTTCAAAGACACTGTTTTTTTGTGCTAGCTTGTCATTTTGGTCTTGCCACTGAAGCATACCATTTATCAGTGTTTCTACTGAGACAATGATGTGGCACCTAAAGGCCAAAACTGTTGTTATGGTTTTGCTAGTTTATTATCCCCATACCGTGTGAGTGATCCTGGCCTGAACACAGTATGAACTGTGATGTTTGACATGGTGACTAGTGTGCGTCATTTGGAAATCCCTTAATTCGTGAGCGGCTGCACATCTTAGCGACATGGGTAGGCTGCTCATACGAAATTCCTAGGGTAGTTGGTCTCATTTTGATGTTCCAGACTGAAGGAGCACCTAACATGATTGGATTTGGACGACTAGGGTTAAGTCTACTTGACATAGGTGTGAAAGAATTGACATATTATACATGGTGCTGACGATAAGGCTTGACATAGATGATTTTGTATATCTCGTAGTCGTGGCACGCGGAATTGAAGTCTCAAATCAGTTAGCTCTTGGAAGATGTCCTTCTTAATCCTGTTAGTTGAGATTTGTTGTTTAAGTCCTCTGTTACCCATAAGAAAACATAGCGGTGACTTCTATAATTCCATGATTCACATAGGCAAGTAACAAGATTGGTCATAGCTTAGAGCAACGCGTGTTTTCCCATGACATCATGCCTTTTTTTATTTATTATCATGTGTTATTGACTTCCCAATAGTTGACTGGATGACTGCAATCATGGTGTTGGTGGTTCATTGCAAATGCCATCTTGGTCCTATATTTCTCACCATGTCACTGCTTACCAAAATTATTGGCTAGACTGTAACAGCATTAGACCTGGGAAAAAACTACCTGAAGACAAAGACATTTTTTGTGTCCTTTGTATGTTGTGATGGATGTGATCGAGTTATTGATCCATATTTTGTTATCTGGTATTTCATTAAGATCGATACTTTTGATGTGCTTATATGTTTGTTGTAGTTGTAACCAGTAAGCTAGATGAGACACCATTTCATTGACACGAAAATGGTTATGGAACAAGAACATGTAATAGAAGTAAAAAATTTACAGCAAGATGAACCGACAGATTATACTGTGTGCACTACATACAAAGCATGTGTTGCTAGATGGTTATTTATTGTTATTACAAAACTTAGGGAGATTTGCATGGTGGAGCTGATGATATCCTAGGAAACTCCAGTTGAATTGTCTCGAAAATCTGCTGGCTGTTTGGAAACGTTGACATAGGTGTGAAAGAATTGACATATTATACATGGCGTTGATGATAAGGCTTGACATAGATGATTTTGTATATCTCGAGTCGTGCCACGCGGAATCAAAGTCTCAAATCAGTTAGCTCTTGGAAGATGTCCTTAATCCTGTTAGTTGAAATTTGTTGTTTAAGTCCTCTGTGTTACCTTCAAGAAAACATAGTGATGACTATGGACTTCTATAATTCCATGATTCACATAAGCAAGTAACAGGAATCGCCATAGCTTAGAGCAACGCATGTTTTCCCACAACATCGTGGCTTTTTTTATTTATTATGATGTGTTTATTGACTTCTGAATGTAAGGTTAGGACCCTGAATGTTGGTCATAACTAATTAGCAAGCAGTTGTGTGGTTTCAAAATGAGTAGGTTCATGACCCAAATTCAACGTTGACTGGATGACTGCAGTCATGGTGTTGGTGGTTCATTGCAAATGCCATCTTCTTGGTCCTATATTTCTCACCATGTCACTGCTTACCAAAATTAGTGGCTAGACTATAACAAAAAAACTACCTGAAGACTAATGATTTTTTTTGTGATGGGTTATCGACTCATATTTTGTTATCTAGAATTTCATCAAGACACTTTTGATGTGCATGTTTGTTGTATTGTAGTTGTAACCAGTAAGGTAGATGAGACCATTTCTTTGACATTGAAAATGATTATGGAACAAGAACATGTTATACAAGTAATAAGTTTACAGCAAGATGAAGATGAAGTAACAGATTAGTAGAGTGTATGCACTACATACGAAGCATGTGTAGATAGATGGTAGTTTATTGTTATTACAAAGCTTAATGAGATTTGTGGTGGAGCTGATGATATCTTAGAAAACCCCAGTCGACTTGTCCAAAAAAATCCACAAAGCCATTTTCTGGACGCGTTTGGAGACGTTTTTCCTTGTACTAGTGTCATGAGTCATGACTCTTACTAATATATCTCGTGATTGTGTCATCCTGTAGAGAAAATGGTGACTGGGCTCCGAAGGGTGCCGTGGGAGAAGGTGGACGTGAGCTTCCACAGCAGCATGACGAGCTTCGCTGCACACAGCATTATTCAGGTCTGTAGTCCGCTGCTCTCCTTTCAACATCCCCCATTATGTGGTTACCATACATGTGACGCGAGGCTAACGGTTGTTGAAGCTTGTGTTGGTGTACGGCAGGTGAAGTACGCGTTCATGAACGAGGGAGCGGATGTGATACAGCACATAATAGACCACTTCCAGCTCTGCTAGATAGAGAATTCCGCGCACAGGGTGCAGTTGTTTCCCCCGGGAGGGTGGTAAAAAATGGAACCGCATGAGGAGCACGGATGGAGCTGCAGCAGGGCTGCTAGCTTCCTTGTTGGGTGGGGGGGACTGACTGTGTGCGTTGCGTAACAGTGTAAGCTGAAGCTGTAAATAGGAGCAGTGCCATGAGAGGAACGAAGACACAGAAAGGGAGCAGGAGTGCTGTACATGTATGTACGCTATCTATGTGTTTGTTTGTTATAAGAATGATGAGAAGATGAAAATCGTACGTCGATCCATTCATGCCTTCTTCTTCCCAGACTGTTTTTGTGTGCGTGTGTTTTTATGTGTCACAAGGAAAATGGGTATCGTACGTACGTATACGTACATACTAAAAATACATATGGAAAAGAGTGGCCGAAAGAGGGAAGAATGGCCTTGGTTGGTCAGAGGTGACACGTGGCTGCCTGGTCAGGTTAATGCCTGCCCTGGAGGGCTGTTTCATTTCATTGTTTGGTTCAGAAAAAGAAAAAGGCACCGACCGTAGTATGAACTGTGGCTTTGAGTGCTCTGAAACGGCTGATAATACTAGTACTACTAGCAATGAAATGAAAAAGGCTATACAGGAAGGTAGCTGAGACGCACGCATTACCGCCGACATGCCGGCACCAGGGGCGAGAATCCCATTCCCAAGTGTGGTGCGGCCGTGTGGGAGTCGTGGGCTCGTGGCCCAAGTTGGAGGTGTACGACTACGTGCGCGGAGGGAGCCGTGGCCGCCAGCAGCTTTCGTGGAAAAGGACACAGGACCACGCACGGAGGCACGGGCGCACGCGGACGACGGGACGAGTTGGCTTGCCGGCGCTAGGTGTGTGCAGTGTGCGTGTGGGGTGTGGCCGTGGGGTTGGGCCGGGGTGTGTACGTGGGCCACGCGGCCACCTTGATCGGCTGCCGGTGCCGGTCAAGTCCAGGCCCGGAGACATACACGGCCCCCTTCAATTCATCCTTGGACTGAATACACACAGACAACTTTACAATAATAATATAATATCTATATCTCTCTCTGCCTTTTCCGGCCTCCGCTCCAATGTGTTTCCTCGTCAATCAAATTGGAGTAGGTAGATGTCCAAGTCTTCTGTATCCATATATGAAATAGAACATCGTTGTCCAGGCATAATACCTGATCCTGAGATGAATTAGTGTGCATGACCAATCACTGAATAAATATTTTAACTGCCAGTCGTTGCCCGGATAAGCGCACAACAAATTGTGCACGGATACGGTTCCTAGTAAGTAAATATAAATTGAATAAATCTTCAAACTGCAAGTTGCCCAGATAATCGCATAAGTCCACCGGTACGGTTGCTAGTAAGTAGATAAATTGAATAAATCTTTAAATTGCAGGTTGTCCACATAACCGCATAACAAAGTGTATGCTGGTAAGGAAGTAGGGAAGAGTAAAACCCCTGCCAGATGAAATTAGACAGGTGAAAAGTCGCCGATGGTGCCGTGACTTGGTCGCAGCACGCACCGATACGTATCCTTCGTCCGTCGCCAAATAACGATCGCTGCTGGCGTGCGTGGCATAAATTTGACTTGTTTTATAAAAAATACGTGTAATATTTATATCTCTAAATAAATTTATTAAAAAGCTAGATTCAAATATCTTTCTAATAATATTAATAATGTACCATAAATATTAATATTTTTAAATATATATTTAGTCAAAGTTGTTTCTCGGCGAAATCGAAATAAACATAGGGAAGAGGGAGTACATATGGGTCTTGTTTAGTTCCTCGTACTAAAGTTTAGTCCCTATTATATCGGATGTTTGATACATGCATGGAGTATTAAATATAGATTAAAAAAATAACTAATCACACGGATTGTGACTACTTTGCGAGACAAATTTTTTAAGCCTAATTAGTCCATGATTTGACAATGTGGTGCTACAGTAAATATGTGCTAATGATAAATTAATTAGGCTTAATAAATTTGTCTCGCAGATTACTGAGGACTTATGTAATTTATTTTAGGATTTAAACACCACCCGCTGCCAGCACGGATGCGACTGAAGTCAGGTTACGTGAACTGTGGCAGGCGCCGCGTTTAGTTCCCAAAAACTTTTAAAAAAAATGTTACAGTAGCCATTATATCGAATCTTACTATACGTGCATGGAGCATTAAATGTAGACGAAAAAAACTAATTGCACAGTTTGGTTGGAAATTACGAGATAAACATTTTGAGCCTAATTAGTTTATAATTGAACACTAATTACCAAATAAAAATAAAAGTGCTACCGTAGCCAAATTTCGTAAAATTTCACGAACTAAACACAGCCTGATAATCTGCCGGCTGGTGAATCCATCGGTGGGGCGAGACCGCGAGAACAAAACCCCACTGCCATGCAGCCTGTCCGAGATACAGACAGACAGACAGGGACGCTGATTCTTCCATTGTTGCCATCTGCTGCTACGGAGGAGTTTAATACTACTGGATGGACCGATTCCAACGCCGAATCGTGGCCTCAAGTTTTCCTTTTTCCGGGTGGGGGACTGAGGGTGCACTTGCCCTTGCCCTTGCCCTTGCACGGGGGAAGAGGGAGGATGATGAGGCCGGGCCCTGGGAAGAATCATCCCCCCTGCAGACATTGGTGGGGAGCGCTAGCAAGCTCCCGGTCGCCAAGGCAACCCCACCGCATTGGCTCTGCCTCTGCCACCTTAAGAGGAAACACATGACGTCTAGTAATTGAATTGATACAGAGTCATGAAGAACGAGAGCAAAAACAAAAACAAAAACATAATCTACTTTTTAATCTCCCGTTGTACAGAACCATCTCTATGGAACTCCATGGTACTTCCATGAGGACGGTATATAATTGTCATTTTTCTGAGTTGACAATAAAAAATCAAAAAAGAAATTTAAAAAGTACACGCTCCCGCCACCATCCCCGTCCGCATTATATACTCGATTCTGGTTTTCAGCACCTGCTTGTGGTTTGAAAATACCATAGCGGCAAACCTTTTCTATAGTAGTGGATGTTGCAGAAAAACAAATCTCCCACATAGATATAGAAGTTGTTACATCCAGAATTAAAACCCCAAGAAAACCTAATAGCTACAATATTTGTTGCCCTAAGAAGCTTAAGGGCCTGCTTGTTTTAGCTATTTTGCTAGCTCTTACTAGACAGAATACAGAAGCTGAAACCATACAACCTAACTATTGAGTTGACTTTTGAAAAGCAATAGAAATGTGACTTCTGAGGAAATGAACTAAAAGTTGAAAATCACATTATGAGGAGTTCTCTGGCTTTTGGAGTGCTGAGAAGCTAAAAATTTATTACAAAGTTAATAGTAAAAAATCAATAGGGAAAAGCTAGAAAGCCAATTTTTTAGCCAAAAGCTATAGCTCAAACAGACTCTAAAAGTCATACGCGTTAATGTAACATCTTCCTAATCCTTCCAGCGTCTAGTTTCTTTTGCCATGTACTCCATCCATCCTAAAATATAGTGCATTTAGGCATTTGAAATTTATCCTCAAATATAGTGCATTCGGGGAACAAGAAGATAATGTTTACTTAAATAAAAATACATGATTATTTTGTACAAGGAAATTAAAGTAATTCATGTACTTGCCATATTTTATATAAGGAGACTAAGAGTTCACCCTTTAATCATGTGGAATAGAATCAGATTTCAATGCATTAAGAAGGTAAGTGTTGCACTCTCCCTCATTTTATCTTCGAATGGCCAGAATGCACTATATTTTAGGGCAGAGAGAGTACGTGAGTGATTATTTTGGATGTGATGAAAAGCTTTTGAGAATAAAGGTTACTCACTGCTAATCCACCAGACATAAGATGTTACATCCAGAATTAAATCCCAAAGGAAACCCAAAAGGTACAATGTTTATTGCCCCCAAGAAATTGAAAAGTATGTCTAACATTGGGCCATTCTCGCTGAAGTCTCTTTTTAAGAAGAGAGAAGAAGTGAGCTTCGTGGGGATGAAACTCCCTTGGCATGATTATCATCTCTCCATGACATGAAATTAAATCTATGAAACCCTAGAACAAAATTTTTCATTGAGACTAGTTGTTTCATCCGTATTTCATTTCAGTCTATATGACATGACAATCTTAGAAACAACGTCAAGAAACTTCTCACTAAGACTGGCCTAACACAGCTCACTGCTGAATGTATGTATATTTATAACCCATCTATCAACCCACTTATATAGTTGTTATGTCCGGTTACTGTTGACACAAAAATGTGACGATGTAATCAACACACAGCAAGCCGGAAGATTTGAGTGGAACGAGATCAGAGATCTGCTTGGCTTTAACACAGAACCAGTCGATTCTGAAAACCCAACAACGTGCCAGTCAATTTGACCTACAATTGACAAGGAGAGAAAATCTTATCAGTAATTTAAGGTGGAATATGTCGGTGCTACACCAAACAGTTCCAAATGTACGGCTAGATAGCCGATTCAATGAGGCTATCGACTAAACAGTCGATATCCGGCGTATCCATGGGAAAAGTATAACATGCAAACAAATCGACTGTCTAATATAAATAAATCTACAAACAGTTTGAATCTAATCTATTATCATCAACAGTGAGGTTCGATCGGATCGATGCAGCTATGATAATGATAACAAACTAAAGCCAAAGAATCTATAAAACCATCTATATGTTGACAGATTCATAAAAACATGCTATATGCGTGAGAGATAGCCAAGTCGGCTAAAATAGCCGATGTAGTCATAGCAAACAAACAGAGTATATATCTTGATCATGAACAAGACCACTAATCAATAATTTCTAATCTAAAGTCTTACTAGTGAGGTTCGACCGGATCGATGCAGCTATAGTAGTGTCATTAGATTAGATCTCATTAACTAATGAGTTTATTCAAGATTGAAACATGTCTTTGAATGCATACTATGTTTGATTAGAATAGAAATAGAACAGCCGATCTAGCGGAATTAAGCCATCAATCATAAGAT